TATAAGCCTCACTTGAGTATGTTTACTTAATTCATTAGCTGTACAGAGTCAACATGTCAAATAACTTTTATACAATGGACATATTTGGAATGCTGTTTTGCTACAAGAGGCTGGAAACTTGGGCAGCACTCACTGTCATGCTTTTAAAAGGCAAAAATATGCCAGAGTCAGTGCTGTGTGGTGACTGCGTGTGTTGCTGTTTCTTTTGTGAGAATTGGTATAGGCATAGGGACTCGCACGCAATAGACATACAGTTTAGATACAACAAATAACTTTGAATGCCATTTCAACTGTACTTCTAACCTCCAAGTCCTATGCAGTGTTAGCACATACTTATTTAAAAATACTGTGTATCAGGGGCTGGCCTGGTGGCGTACCTGTTAAGTTCGCATGCTCTGCTTGGGCGGCCCGGGGTTCATGGGTTCAGATCCCGGCTGCAGACCAACGCACCGCTTGTCAAGCCATACTGTGGCGGCGTCCCGTATAAAGTAGAGGAAGATGGGCATGGACGTTAGCCCAGGGCCGATCTAACTCAGCAAAAAGAGGAGGACTGGCATTGGATGTTAGCTCAGAGCTGGTCTTCCACACACACACACACACACACACACACACATACACACACACACACAAAATGCTGTGTATCAACTGGGTCTCTTTCTCTTTGAGATTTTCCCATGCTGGAGTGCTTTTGTAGCGTGAGATACAGGTGTCCCAGCAGATCGCCTTTTTGAAAAGCTGTTGGTGTAGCATTGAGGGAGAGGAAAGAGAAGGAAGAAGAGACAAAAGTAATACTTATTTATAATTGTTTCCAAAGGTAGTAGGACTATACTGATTAAAAATCCCATTAAGAAAGTTAAAAATCTCATTAAGAAAGTTATCCTATTACTTTCTTTCTTTTTTTTTTGTGAGGAAGATCAGCCCTGAGCTAACATTCACACCAATCCTCTTCTTTTTGCTGAGGAAGACTGGCCCTGGGCTAACATCTGTGCCTATCTTCCTCCACTTTACATGGGATGCCGCCACAGCATGGCCTGACAAGCAGTGCGTTGGTGCGCACCCGGGATCCGAACCCGGGCCACCAGCAGTGGAGCACGCGTGCTTAACCACTACACCATGGGGCCGGCCCCTATCCTATTTCTTAAATTAAAATATTCCAATTGAAATGTGTTAAGAATGTAGACAGAAGCCAAATATTATGTAATAGGTCCCTTTACCTCTCAGAGTAGGGATGGGGAACGGATAGGAATCCATGTGCCTGACTTTTTCCTTTTTAGAGAGAAATTGTAGAAAATTAGTTCCCTTACTCTTTCATGTGTCTAATAATTACAAGGCCCAGGGCTAGAAATTGTGAAGAATAAAAATTAACTATGGCTGAGTTATGGGTATTCAAATGGCTTAAATCTAGTAAGACATATACATGCAAAAATACATAGTGCAAGGCAGTATTTGGGAAGGAGACTAAGTGGTCGTACAGACTACTGGAAGAGTATGTTATCGTATGGGCGTTTTGGAATGGAAAAGTTAGGGAAGGCAAATTGGAGTGACTTTTGAGCCATGACTTGAAGAATTGGTAGGTGTCTTGTAAAAATAATTACAGGACATTCACCTTGGAAAGGCCGTAAGAGTTAGTGTTGAAAAGTAGTTTACAAAGTTACCTTTTGAGAATTAAACTAATTATGTCATCATAAAATAATAGACAAAATGTCTTGAGGCCCAAAGGAAGGAATACCTACTTTGCTGGTAATAGCTACTTAACTTAAATAGTATTTTAGTATACCTTAAAAAAAAAAAAAGTTGCCAACATAAGAAGGTAGGCTATGTAGGAAATGGTGTATGGTGTGGATCCAGCCCTTTCCAGGGAAAGAGAGAACTTCCAGGAACTTGAACTTCTTGGTCGTTAGAGCTGTGTCCTCTGCTATGGGGTGGACATTCTTCACTGGGCTGAACCACAGCTGGAGAGAACTCTTCTCTCAGTGACTCTCTCCCCGTTGTCCGTAGAGCGTAAAGATTAATAGATGGCCTCAGGATCATGAATCATCCAAATTCTGTTTCTGAACTTACTAGCTGAATGACTTTTGACAAGATATGATACTTGGTCTTTTTATTAGTATAATGGGACTAAAGTTACCTCTCTGCTGAGGTAACTGTGAGAATTGAATAAAAATATCAGTCTGAGGAGTTTAACTCAGGGCCTGGTACATGACACTCAACAAAGCTGCGAATGTGATCTGTAATTTTATACTCACCAAGGAGCTGTAATCACTAATTTCTAGATATCTTAATTATCTGAAACAGGCTGCGCAGAACAGACACGTAAGCATTTCAGGACCTAAATGAGATATCTCCATCATAAGTTAGCACGTCAGCATTCTCAAATGGTGCGGGTTAGCGTTAGGTTCTATCATCAAGAACCTCATAGTTTCTGGGAGGTTTGGGAAAGCGCTGTTTCTGAACCTGCAGTCAGGCTACGGACCTGCTTAAGTAAACCTGTCAGTGTTGAAGCCAACCTGGGCAAGTTCTTGGGAAGCAAGAAGGGCTAGCTTTTATTGAGCATTGACTGTGGGCCGAGCGCTCTGCCAAGTGCTGTCCCCGCCGTGTTGTCTGAGCCTCACAGATGACTCTTCGAGGTAGGTGTTACAGTCCTCCACTTTTACAGATGAGAAAATTGAAGCTTGGAGATGCTGGGGAACGTCTGAGGCCATGCAGTTGGTTAAATGGCATAGCCAGAATTTAAGCCTCAGTCTGCCCGTGCTCTCAGCTATGATGCTGTACTGCACAGGATTCACATCAAGAAGACCTGGTTTCAGATCCAGTTCTACCTCTTTCCAGAAATATGATCTTAAACAAGTTATTTTTGCCTTTCCAAGCCTCAGATTCTTCATCTAAAAGACAGAGTGAATACCTCCCATGTAGGCTTGTTTTGGAGGATTAGAAATGAAGTCTGTAAAGTGCCTGGCACAGTTTCTAATGCATGATAGAGACTCTCCAAGAGGTGGTGGTTATTGTTTGGGGCTCTCTAGACTGCTGTCTACTTCCCACCATCCCCCTGGGCATGTGACCTCTGTGTCTCTTTGGGTAACAACTGAGGCTGTTACCAGTGTTAAGGGCTGACGTTTGTCCTACATTGCCACATAAACTTCGTTTCACTATTTTTATTGTGGTAAAATACATATAACATAAAATAGGCCATGTTAACCATTTTTAAGTGTACAATTCAGTGGCATTAATTACATTCACACTGCTGTGCAGCCATCACCACTAACTGTTTCTAAATCTTTTCCATCACTCTAAGCAAAAACTCTGTAACCATTAAGCAGTAACTCACTTTTCCTCCAGCCCTCAGCCCCTGGTAACCTCTAATCCACTTTCTATCTCTATGAATTTGCCTATTCTAGATATTTCATATAAGTGGAATCATACAATATTTTTCCTTTCATGTCTTGGCTTATTTCACTTAGCATAATGTTTTCAAGATTCATTCATGCTATAGCGTGTATCAGAACTTCATTCCTTTTTATGGCTGAATAATGTTCCATTGTGTGAATATACCACATTTTGTTTATCTCTTCATCCATGAATGGACTTTTGGGTTGTTTCCACTGTTTTAGCCACATGCACTTTAAAAGTTATTTGAATTTGAATTCTTTCATGATAGTGATCTTAAAGACACTTCGTTAAAATAACTATTTTTAAATTCAAAATTATACTTTATTTAGAATTTCTTTTAGGTCTACACTAAGTTATCTAGTCTAGGTAAATCATTTTACTTTCTATATTACATACCTATCAGTGGAGATACATAGTATACATTTTAAAGAAAATGATACCAGCCAGATTTAGATATTTTTATGTTTGCTGAGCAATACTGTTATGTCTGAATCAAATGAAATATTCCAGTTGCAAATTATGTTGAAGGTGTATGATACAATTGGTTTAGGGTTAATGTTTTATTTCTGCTTTCTTTTCATGTTTTTAAAGAATTATACTTTACATGTTTCTAAAGAGTAACCATTTCTGTTTATTAATTAGAAAAATTTAAAAAGTCCTATCACTGAAGTTTTTTCCAGAATTACTGGAATATTATATTTGATTCAAACCCAAAATAATATTTGGCAAGCATAAAAATATCTAAATTTTGCTGGCATCATTTTCCTTAAAATGTAATGTACTTTTGGGTGATAAGAGGGGATAAAACATGACTGATAAAGGGTTTGTAATCTATTTTGTAGATCTTTACAATGTTAGCAGGGTCCTTGGAGCAGATATGGATTTTTCTAAGTCTAAACTAGATCTAGGCCTAGAGTTAATCATGCCCGCCCCCCCTTTTTTTTTAATTGTATAACAGGAATTTGCTGACAATTCTAAGGTACTTTTCCAGGGCTTATTTTTAGGAAATCAAAAGTGTAATGAGAATATAGTGTAAAAAAATGCTATCTGAATTTCTCCTCACATGCGCTTTTTCAATTTATTTAAAAAATATCTTTAAATGTTTTCATTTGCAAATATTGCTGCTATTTGGCCAGACAAGGGCTTATACAACTAACTTTCATTTGTCTGATAAGTGTCCAAGGGTAACTTGAGTGATTGATTTTAGCAGAAAACCTCATTTAACTAGTAATTTCTTTGATTAAGGCAGTGATCCAACATGATGCACATTAAAATCACCTAGAGAACTTAAAAAAACATATCAGTACTTGGGCTCGATCCTCTGATTTAATAGCTCTAGGATAGAATTTGGACAAGCTCCACAGGTAATAAAATGCAGCCAGGATTGAGAACCATTGTATTCACGCAAGAACTAGGTGAGGTGGGGTGGGGTTGCAAGAACTAGGTGAGGTGGGGTGGGGTTGCAAGTGGGGAAGAGATAAGAGGAATGAGCTCCAGTCATTTCCTTCTCTTCCTACTTACAGGCAAGCAACCCAAAAGAAGAGGAAAATCCAAGATCACTCAGAATCCAGAGTTTAGAAGGTGAAGTAGCTTTTCTCTTTTTGTCTTTGTAGACATGGAAGGACTTTAATGAAACTTCAGTGGTTCAACAAAAGATGCTCTAATGGATGACAGTGAAACTCCTACATATAATCTGCAGATAGAACCACAAGATGGGTGTCATCCTGGCGATGGTGTGGAAAGTAGAGTAACACGCTTGCCTTCTGCATCAGACGAAAATGAAAACCAGCTTGATGAGGATGGGCATGAGCATCTGACCAGCAGTGACTGTGCGATGGGCAAGCCTGAAGTGTTTGAGCAGGACAGTCTCAACAATAATGAAAGCTGCACACCAGGCTGTGAGGTGGCTGCAAGTGAGAACTCGGAAAACACGCCTCGTGAAGGCCCCCAAGGTGGACAGGCCTTCTTGGGAAAGGACAAAAAAATACCTGGAAAAAGAACTTTAGTAAGCAAAAGAGGCACTGCTGAGAAGATACCACAAGGTATTTTTGTTTTAATTACTATTTATACTATTCTGTAAAAATAAACCATCTTCCCATCCCATGCTGTGTATTCTGTCCTGCGTCTTGCTTTTCTTCTCTTACTATATTCCGGAGCTAGTTCTACAGTAGCACATGTAGATCCAGCTGGGTGGGATGCCACGCATGTGACATGTCTCCACAGTAGTCCATGGTATGGATGTACCGTCATTTATTTAACCACTTTATGGCTGTCCCCAGTGCTGAAATTGACATTCTTTGTACATGTTTTCACACTAGGTATTTTAAATATATATAGTCTCCTTCTTTTATAAATTAGACCAGTTTTACCAATATCAGCCTTAAACATTTCCTTCTGTCATCATTGTACTTTTGTCTCTAACCTGTGAGTTTATGTGCTAGTACAATCTTACCTCTTTATAGAATCTTTCCATTTCACTCAGTAGGTGAATAATATACTTAACATATATTAATATACTTAACATATATTAATATACATCGTATACCAATGTTAAATAAGACATCTAGCTTTGATTATCTATAATCACTTTGGTTACAGAGTAATCCAGAGTATTTCTCATTTTGTATATAATTTGGCAAAGTTTGGAGCTATGGACTTTTTTAGTGGATCACAGGAAAAGGCAGCTCTGGGAAAAGGCAGCTTCTGGTTACTTTTGATCAGAAGCATGTGGGACTAGAGAGTTCTGGTACTTCCTAGACTGGGACTCCTTAGTGTAGTACCACTTCACCTAAGCCAGCAGTCTTTGCATAAGGCTCTAGTGAATGGAGTGGAGTGTCTTTTCTCCTCTTCTGCTCTCTTCTGCTTCTTTGGCTGATTAGAAATATAGTCAGCCTATCCATGTCCTGTATTTTATTTGTTTTTTTTATTTGGAGTAAAAGATGAAACTTCCCAGTTTCTACAAATCAACCCTTACTTATTCAGTAAGGTAATTTGGGAGCTTTTTAATGTAACTCATAATTTGGCTTTCCAGTTAACTGACCCCTTTGTCTTTGCTTTTCCCTAGTAGACTTAAAGCAAATTAAAATAATTTTTTTTTAAAGATTTTATTTATTTTTTCCCCCCAAAGCCCCAGTAGACAGTTGTACGTCACAGCTGCGCATCCTTCTAGTTGCTGTATGTGGGACGCGGCCTCAGCATGGCCGGAGAAGCAGTGTGTTGGTGCGCGCCTGGGATCCGAACCCGGGCCGCCAGCAGCGGAGCGCGCACACTTAACTGCCAAGCCACGGGGCCGGCCCTAAAATAATTTTTGACAAGAGATATGAAAGGATTTTCTTAAAAGACTTAAGGGTAAACAGATGATGTATTCAGTGCTTTGTTAGTGTCATCGAGTGAATTCCGACTCCTAGCGGCCATGTATACAGCAAAGGTACCCTGCCTGGTCTTTTTGCGCTGTCCTTTCTCCTTCCGGCACTATATCAGACAATGCTCCGCTGCTATTCATAGGGTTTTCATGGCCAATTTTTTCAGAAGTGGGTGGCGAGGTCCTTCTTCCTAATCTGTCTAGTCTGAAAGCTTCGCTGAAACCTGTCCACCGTGGGTGACCCTGCTGGTATTTGAAATCCCAGTGGTGTAGCTTTCAGCATCACAGTAACATGCAGCTGCCACAGTATGACAACCGACAGATGGATGACGTGGGTCCCTGACCTGGAAACGAACCCTGGCCACAGTGGTGAGAGTGCCAGATCTTAACCACGAGACCACTAGGACTGGCTATATATAGTACTGTTTGTATGTAAATTGATTTATTCTATAACTATAATTCAAGGGCAGTTTGTGCCTCTCTAATCTGATCTTGTGATGTTTTTAAGAACTGATACCTAGCTGCATATGTACAAAGGTCAGTCATAGCTTCAAGATTATGGCTCCTTTTGTTCCTTCCATGACCTTCTTCCAGATTCCCTAGGTGTGATTGTATAACTTAAACTTATTTAGTACTTATTATCCAATGAGCAGATATGTGTAGAATTATTATCCCCTAATGCATTTGAAATATATGATTTATAAAACTTAGTCTCTATACAGATTATTTTTTAAAATTATTTTATGTATCTTATATAAAATGAGTTTAAGAGTATAAGAAAAATGAATTAGGGGTTGTAAAACCGAGGTTCAAATCTTGCTTCTGGTTTTAGGTCACTTGGTGAGACTTAACCGTTCTGTACTTCAGTTTCCTCATCTGTATAATGATGATGTTTGTCTACATACATCTATAAAATTCCTTTCTGAGCTGTGAATTTCTTAGATTTCTGAATAGAGTTGGTATAGTATACACACTCAGTTAAAATTCGGTGATTCACCTCTAGTATGTCTGTAGAGTGTTTTTTATGTAAGGGGTACATTTTCGTTTGTACTTTAAGTTTTGTTAAATTAAAAGAAGGTAAGTTTGAGTGGGCAAAAGAATTTTAAACTGAATGTAAGGATTCTTTTGAGAGTAGAATTATCCCTTCCTAGACCTGGAAGGGATCTAGAATGGGAAGCTTTAGGATTGCCTGGAGAGCTTTCCTCAGTTTACCTCAAGAGATCGCTGAAGCCCATCCTCTCTCAGTACACATCGAATCACCAAGTCCAAGTGATTGTATGTCCCTGTGATCTCAATAGTTGGTCTGTTGTGCTCCATCTCCAGATCAGCATCACCGTCTTTAGCTGGAGTACCGCAAAAGCTGCCTAAAGATATCTCTCATCTTGTTTCCCCCTGATCCCTTCTCTGTGTCAAAACTCACAATGCAGAGAGTTTATACTTAGGGATCTAGACATGGGCATATTTACTCTTCTTTATACTGTGAAATTTAAGATCCTAGGGAAATAAAGTTTCAAAATTTTGCAGATGAGTACTTTTCTAATAGTAGAAGAGCTTCTCAAATGTGAAATGACATGTAAAACATGATATTCAATCCCAAACCAGAAACAAGTTTTTTATAGATAGGTGTGCTCTCAACACCTTTTTGGGAACATACATTAAGGTAGATTTATTCACTCTTATGCTCCCTTGCCTAGTTTAATTTGTAGTAATTTTTCATATATCCAAAAGCTAGTACTGGGAAAAAAATAGAGCAGTAGTATTAGGAGGCATGTAATTATTTATAGGTTTTCTGAAGGCGACATTTCTGTAGACCTGCTAAGACCTTGAACTTGGCCTCACGTAAGTCCAGTTGTCCTTATATTACAGGCTTATTTTTTCCTTAAAAGAATTGAATCCCCTTGCTATAGTCAACTAAACAGGGTTTCAAGCTGCATTACATCAAGTTTTCACGATACTTAAAACTGGCATAGTTTTTGGTAAATAGTATTCTAAAACTAATGAAAATGAGCCTATAAATTTTTAACAGCTTTATTGAGATATAGTTCACATACCGTACAATTCATGGACTTAAAGTGTGCAATTCAGTAATTTTTAATACAGTCATGCTTTGCTTAACGGCAAGGATTGTTCTGAGAAATGCATTGTTAGGCGATTTTGTCATTGTGCCAACATCACAGAGTGTACTTACACAAACCTAGATGGTGTGGCCTACTACACACCTAGGCTATGTGGTACTAATCTTACGGTGGTCTGTCATTGACCAGAACGTCGTTATGTGACACGTAACTGTACATTCACAAAGCTATGCAACCATTACTACAATCAATTTTAGAACATTTTCATTACCACAAAAGGAAGCCCCATGCCTGTTAGCAGTCACTCCCCATTTCCCCCCAAGCCATCCCAGCCCTAGGCAACCACTAATGTACTTTTTCTCTATAGATTTGCCTACTCTGGACATTTCATATAAATGGAATCGTATATGGTCTTTTATGACTGGCTTTTATTGAGCCTAGTGTTTTAAAGATTCACTCCATGTTGTAGCATGTGTCAGTACTTTATTCCTTCTTATGGTCAAATAATATTCCATTGTACGGATATACCACATTTCATTTATCTCTTTGTCAACTGATAGGCATTTGGGCTGTTTCTACTTTTTGGCTATTTTGAATAATGCTCCTATGAATATTTGTGTACAAGTTTTTGTGTGGGTATATGTTTTCATTTTTGGAGGTTATATATGCCTAGAGGTAGAATTGCTGGATCATAAAGTAACTCTATGTTTAACTTTTTGAGGACTGCCAAACTGTTTTCCAATGTGGCGACACCATTTTACATTCCCACCAGCAATATATGAGGGTTTCTCCGCATCTTCTCCAACACTTGTTAATATCTGCCTCTTTGATTATAGTTACAGCTTTCTTTAATTGAGATGTAATTTACTTGCCATAAAATTCACCTTTATCAAGTGTACAACTCAGTGGTTTTAGTATATTCGGATGGTTTTGTACAACCATCACTAGTATCTAATTCTAGAACATTTTATCCCTCTAAAAAGAAACCCTGTACACATTAGCAGTCACTCCCCATTCCTTGCTCCTCCCAGCCCTTGGCAACCACTAGCCCATAAGTTTTGTACGGTTGTAAGAGACAAGTTCAGATTAAGTGTCTGGTGGTTGCCATAACAACATACTTTAGTTATTTACTCGGTTGCCGTAGTATCTAAGCATTTGACAAAACAGTTCAGCAAATGGCAGGAAGCCAGAGATAGGCACAGATGGAAACTGAGGAAGGAAAGCCCTTCTGGATTGACTTGCCACTGTTCAGTGTCCTGACTTGTTCCCCTGGAGGCCTTCACAAAGTGGCCAGCTGGGAGGTGACAAGGAGGGCCTGAAAGCTGGAGGAAAACAAACTTGGAAATGGGTCTGTGGCCTGGAGTCAGCCTTGTGTAGTGAGAAGAACAAAGACTTTGGGTTGGAATCTTGGCTCTACCTGTTTCTACCTATATGACCTTAGAAAAGTACCTCTTTCCTTGTCTGTAGGAGGGCTGATCCTGCGAGTCTTGCAGGATTATTCTTAGAATGAGCAATCCTGGATGTAAAGTGCTTTGTAAAAGAACCTCGTATGAAATAAGTGTTTCTAAGTGTGGTGGTTGTCTTTATGTGTGTCACAAGATGATTT